CCAGGCCGGGGCGAGCGGCCCCTCTCCCGCCTGCCTCCCCCCGCCTGCTTCACCCCGGCCTCGTCAGCCTCCCGCCTGCTTCCCTCGCCAGGGCCCCGGCCTCCAGGGTCGCCGGCTCCTGTCACCCCGGGCCGGCTGCCCGTTGCCGCCCGTGCCATCTGCTGTCCACCGCTGCTTCCGCTCCCGTGGATCCTCTTCTCCTCCGAAATCCCTTCTTCGCCGCCTCTCCTGCCTGCCCTTCACCCTGCAAAGAGCCTCTTTCCTCTCTGCGGCTCTCCCCTGCGTAGGCTCAGTCGCCTTTTGTGCAGCGCCTGACTGTGCCTGGAGCAGCTCCTCTTTCACATCTTCACCTCTTTTCTTGTTCCCCCTTTTCCCCTGCGCCCCCCGATCCTGTAACCCTCGATAATGAGGATCCCGTTGGAGCGCTGAAGAGGAGCAAGAAGAGCTTGCTTGGCGTGCCCGTGTGGGGCTGCTACCTTCTTTCCCGCTCCCCTCCTTTGAGGGGGGCCTAGCCCCCGACCAGCCTCCTGCTCCTCCAGCAATTGCAAGCCAGAGTGGTGGCTGTGGTGTGGCAGGCGGCAGGATGACTGACACCCGGCGGAGGGTGAAGGTTTACACTCTAAATGAGGACCGCCAGTGGGATGATCGAGGCACAGGGCATGTGTCCTCTTGCTACGTGGAGAGGCTGAAGGGCATGTCCCTGCTAGTCAGGGCAGAGAGTGATGGTAAGTGTGTATGTCTGAAGGTACAATCTTAACTCATCCTACCCAGAAAAGGAACTGGGCTTAGCTTTGTGTCTGTTGCCTTAATGTTTTGCTGCGTAATTCAAATGTGATTCCTAAAAGCAAGTAGGTGCTAACCGTAGTTCATTCGTGTTAGGCCAAGTGAAAGAAATGGAAGGTTGCTATCAAGTGCAAGCATAGTAGGCACTTGGTTCATAGTGCATGCACAGTGTTGCATACAAAATACGTTCAGGTCTTGTTGTAAATCTTGCATGGGTTTGGATATCTAGTGATCTATCACTAGATGCCCAATGTACTCCAGTTTCAAAACTGATCATTGTGATATATTCGTCCTTAGATGTTTCTGGAAAAGATCGCCTTGTGAAAGGAGTTCTTCAAAACTTAGGTCATATTTTTTTAGTATAAATTTTAAAAGGTCATTGGATGGCCAACACCCTCTTTTTCTCCCCCCTCCCCCCATTTTCTTTGTAGCAAGAATTATGCAAGACTTTCTAAAAGCTATCAACAGTTATCAAAGTACAGTTGTTAATAGTAGTAAAGACAATACAATGGACAGAACAGCATTTTCAGAGATTTTTTTTTAATGGGGTAGTAGTTCTCAGTCCTTCAGCAGTTCTAGATCTTCCTGTAAATAAATTTAAAAGGATGCATTATCAATTTCCTTCACATTTTCTGACAACATATGACAATAGTATAGGTTGAGTTGTTGGTTAAGTGAGTTCATGACTGCTATGATCAGAGTAGATCTTAAAATGTATACTTTGCAATATGTGATGTACCATTTTGCTAGTAAAGTGCATGACTTACTACTTCATTAGATATATAGCTACTGTATCTAGTGACTTGTAGATCTAGTTGTAGCTTGTGACTATCAACAGACCTTGGAATTTTGTTTATTTGGCTTTTTCATTGTAGGCACTGGGATGAAAAGCAACTTGAGAATCATTAATTCTTACTGTGTGAGAAAGTTCTGACAAACTGTACAATAATGTCTACAGCAGAGATCATAAACTGATATGGAGGAATCAAACTTTCGTCTTAGCACAATTTTGATAATTGAGCTTCTGATAAGCATGAATCTCAGTGTTTTGTAGTTTCTTGGTTATACTTTTAAAAGTTGAAGTGATAGTTATTTTCTTTGTTTTACACTGAAGAAGATGCATTTATAGTTTGGCCAACTTCATAGTGTAAGAGAAAACATTCAAAATGGAAATAGACTTAGTTTAATTTCAACAGAAGGGAGGTAAAAAGGAGGTTATCACTAAATTTTTAAGCCAATCTTTACAGTGTATTTGGTTGTAGGTACAGTCTTTTCTGTCTACATAGCTGCTGTGCTCATGTTTAAACACTGTCATGTCTTTTATACATGAAACAATTTCCTGATTTTTTTTTTTGTTTTAATTCTTTTTAGAAGAAAGCAAAAGAACTGCAGTTCCTAACCTGCTTGTGAAGAAATAGCCCATTCAAACTAAAATCTCTTTATTGACTTTCAGTGGGATATATGTGCTTAAGACTGATTAGAACCTGAATTGGACTGTTGTTGCCAGTTTTTGTTGTAAATGAACATCTGTAAGAAGGAAAATACAAATTGGTATAAATGATCCCAAAACAAAGATTAAGTCATTACTTTGTGCTGCATAGCTAAGATACTCTAATCAAAGCAGAACTGGCTCAAACTTACTAATTGCACCTAATACACAGAAGTATATTTAATAGGATACACACATTAGGCCCCTCTCAAACAGCATACATATCCTTCAAGAGTATTAAATAATATACAGAGCTTAAGTTCTTAATTTAGTAGGTAGTATCAGGTTGGGTAAATGTGCATTCTATTAATAGGCTAGTTTTTCTAACTTGCTAGTGTAAACACCTCATAAAATTTGACTTATATCTTGTTTACTCCCAGTGTCAATTGTTTGTGGGCTAATTTTGAAGGCAAATGCAGTCATTTTTACACGTGAGCAGCAAATGGTTTGGAAAAAGGTGATGCCAGGCTTGCGTTTTAGGTACTATGCAATTTGTGTGTTCTCTCATGGACTTTCTTATCTACATGAAGTAGTCACTGTGATTTATTTTTTTATTCTGCCCCCCCCCCCCCGTAAAAAAAAACATGCAAGTACTAAAAAACTGACCGATACACCATTTGTCTCCATGTTTCCATTGCGTTCTTGTATTGTCTTTCTTTGTCAGCTCCTCCTCTTTCCACAATGAAACTTCTTCCTTCCTCCTTTTCTAAACCAGCTTTTCCTAGCCTTTGAGCGGAGATCCACCCTGTGCAGGCTGGCATGTTCTTGCTGACATACTCCAGGAAGCCCATTGAAAACCTCGGGATCTGCCTGAAGCTGAGGGCTCTGTTTCCTGAGTGGGGGCGGCCGTGGGGGTTGTTAGCAGTAGTTCCTGCTGTGGCTGGGAAATTCCCACTCCTGTTAAAGGGCCAGTTCGGCTGTGCAGAGAGCAACAGCGAAATTACCAGAGGTTCGTTTGGCTGACCCTGTGGGCTAGCACATAGTTCAGTCTTTAGATTGTGCAGCTGTGGCTTGGTGTAGCTCCGTGGCTACTTTGTGAGTGGTTGAGATTCTATGGCAGGGTCAGGGTGTTCAGATAGAGGAGCTGCAATCAGTATGCCAAGTCCAAGGTGAGCTATCATCTGGAATTGGAGCAATAAGAACTGAATGAGTGCAATTATTTTATTTTTTTTTATCTGTAGGAGTATGGGGTTTTTTTCTTGGGTTGGTGTTAAAACACCATCTTAAAAGAATTTAGGAGTGATTTGTGTTGCTATCTGAGGTGTCTAATGCTCCCAGATGCTAAGCTTTAAATTATCACAGTCAATTTGGAGTAAACTATTATAGTACAGAAATATCATAAACTGCTTTCAGATCAGCTATATTATGCTTTGAAACAGGGAATTGTATTTTTTTATACTTAAACAACTCTTAACTTTTTTACTTAAAACCCTCAAAAGTTTCTCTTTGTGATTCCTAGTTGCAGTGTATTCTACTTGAATTGCAGTAGAGTAGTAGCGAACTCTTGTCTTGCAAATGATCACCTTCCGTGTGGGTTTCTGTGTGTAATCAGAAGCCTTTGATTTTTATTTTTTTTACCTGTTTCTCATATGGTATTATAGGCTGCTGTGACCTGCTTCATTCTTAAAATGTCTATGTGCTTCTAGATTTTCACTGCATGGTTTTACATCGCTTTTTTTTTTGAGCACAGATGACTGAAGTGACCTCTAAAATGAACATTTCTGTCCAACTACCTTGGGTTAATTTGAAAGCTTGAACTTTAATTAAAGCTTAATAGTCCTGTAACTAAACTTTTTGACAAGCCAAAGTGAAGTTCCCTCTTGGAGGCCTTATTTGCCAGCTGTCTTTTAGGAACTGTCTAATCACTTTTATTCAGAAGTTGTAGTTTGCCACTTCTGAATTTTGTATGTTAATGACAGCTGCCACGGGGCAAGCATCCGCAGCCTCGTTGTTTCTTTAGACTAGCTATCAGTAACCCCATACTGCTGGTAGAAGGCTTAGCCAAAATTTGGCTTAAGTTTTTACTGTGTTCAAACCAGAGGGATTAGCTTTATTTATTTTTAGGAGAGCAACACAGAAAATTTTGTTGTTACATACTTACCTTAGGTTAACATGGAAAAAAAAAAAAGGGAGGGGGGTGGACTTTTTGTTTGTTTGTTTCTTTTCTCCTAGTTCTCCCCTCTCCTTAGTGTTTGGGTTTGACCCTTCAGAAATGTGATAGATGAGGAATAGTCCCTTGCAAATGCAGACTGCATTCTTGGTCCTCAGTTTGAGCTATTTCTAAGTTTCTGTGGCTTGGTTTCTGTGATTCAGTAGCAGCAGAACTGACTGTAGAACTTAAAATTCTGTGTGCATCTTGCAAAAAAAAACAGCTCTTGAATTAAAGTTTTCATTTAAACGTAAACATATTTGTAGTGGTGAGGGGTAACGAGTGGCACTGTACTCTTTCTGCTTTTGAGGAAGTATTCGCATAACAGTTCGATGGGAGAGGAGCAGCATTCCATATCAGCAGGTCCGCTCCATATATGTGTATGTAAACAAGTCTGCAGATCTGTTATTTGAAAGTACTGGATTGGGATATTTGATGTTTTCTAAATATCTTTGAAAATAGCATTGTATATCTGTATGTAATCTCTTTTGAGCAAGCCTTTCCCTATACACTCGTTCCTTTCACAGCACAGAACAGTGTTGTTACACTAACAAAAAACCCCAGCTGTGCTATATTGCATTACAGTGGCAAATAACAGAATTCTGCAAATCAATGTTTTCTTCTTTGTGGGTGGTTTCAGATGTTACTTTCTGGCACCATGTTTTGCAGTTACCTTTACAAACTCGTTCAAAGCTATAATTTAGCAAATAACTAGATCTGCATAATTTTGGGGGGGTTATTAAAACCATAGCTTGTATTAAGGTGAGTTTTCAGATCTTACCTGACTTTGAATAGAGTTGTTGGGTCGCTGAAGATGAAAATTTGTTCGTGTATGTTTATAAAGTGGACTGGATAGTCTTAATGTATTCAAGGGTAGTACCAAAAGAAAAATACCTACATAGAAAGCAATTGCTTGTGACAAATGCAAGAGTAAGCATCTTGAACTGTATTTAGGGATCAATACTGATACTGACTTTAAATGGAGAAGAACTTTATTTGTGGCACGTTAAATTTCTGTAACCTTTTTGTAAAGAATATATTTGTGTTACAGATGTCTGTTACTGTTGCCTGGTTCCCAGAAACAAGTAACAGAGACCTAAGACTGCCTCATACCAGGAAGGGGCCTGATCCTGTAAAACCTACTGTATGAAAATAAACTCACTGAACTAACTAGTAGAATAGTCACTGATTTTGAGTCATTGAACCCATCTTGGGGAACAAATCTGCATCAGATGCTGCAGAAGGATGGATTTGAGGCAGTTATAGGTTATGGAGCACAGTTTACACTTCAATATGTTTCTATCTCCAATTTCATATTTTTCTAGTTATTGTCTGGAGTGGTGAGGACTAAGTTGAATCATGTGGTAATGAGAAGCAAGTCAAGCCTTATAAGGCTTGATTGGTCTTTCCTGCAAGCGTCAGGTTTAGTAGAGAAGAAGAAATGCTCTTTTGTGGTAAGTCTAGTAAAGAGGTCATTCTCTAGTGTCTGCTTCTAGCCTGAAAGATGAAATGTCTGCATTCAATTGTCTTCAAGTTATTTTTTTAATAGTATTTTGTCAAACATGGTGGTTCAAGTTATGTATGATATTCTGCTAATTTCAGGATTTCCATGTCTGTAGATCTGCATTCAGCCCTTAAAATCGAATGTTGAAATTATCAATTGCTTTTAATTCTAACAGGAGTCTAATTCATATTTGCTAGTATTAAATATTTCTAGACAGTAAAGACTTTCTAGAAGTTAGTTAACTGAGTTAGTAACACAAAATAATATTCTAAAACTTCATGTAGTTGAAGCTGAGGCTTTGAAACTGAAAGTAAGATTGAAGTGAAATACTGCCTATACCTGATGATCGTAACGGAAAAGGGAATGCTGTTTTTGAACTAGACAAACGCAATATTCAAAGCTCGTGGAAAAGGGAATGCTGTTTTTAAATGTTCACTAGACAAACGCAATATTCAAAGCTCGAGACTGTGACCTAAGTACCACAGTGTATTGGATTCATCAGTAAAGCTCATCTTAGATATTTTCCTTCTCTGTCCTGCTCTATAGTTTGTGATTTTTAATTTTTTTTTCTTTAGTTACGCTGTCGCACTTAAGCGAATAAGCTGCTTTAACAGATCTGATGCAAGTTAGAAAACTGGAAAAACTCTTAAAAAAAAAAAAAAAGAAAGAAAGTGTAGTATATGTGGTTTTGGGGGGAGATGCTTTTTTGTTGTGTCTTGTTTTCCCTTGAGGGCTATTTAGTTCAGTTTTGTTGTTGGATTGTATCTGTGTTTGTAAACAGCTCTTACTGCAGGAGCAGTTGAGACAGGGCAATAGCTTCTCAAGCCAGCTTCATTAGCAAAGGCTGCTTCTTGTAGAACAACAGACTTAGAAATTAGGAAGAAGCAGCTGTTACAGGTAAGTTATTAATTAAAAAAAATTAATTGTATCTGATTATCACATACATAGTAAGCTAATGAATATCAAAATCCTTAGTAAAGCTCCTAAATTCCTGAAGTAATAACCTTTCTTGTCAGACAGCAAACTGTTCTGATATTTATGTAATTCTTTAATGATACACCACTCTCAGCAAGTGAAGTTCTATGATCTGGTTCTTCAGTCTCTCTTCCCTCACCTCCCCCAACCTAACATCTTCATCGGTGACATAAACAGTGGGATTGAGTGCACCCTCAGCAGATTTGCAGATGACAGTAAGCCGAGTGGTGCGGTTGACACATCTGAGGGACAGGATGCCATCCAGAGGGACCTGGACAGCCTCGAGAAGTGGGCCTGTGTGAACCTCATGAGGTTCAACAAGGCCAAGGGCAGGGTCCTGCACCTGGGTCGGGGCAACCCTTGGTATCAGTACAGGCTGGGGGATGAAGGGATGGAGAGCTGCCCTGCTGGTAAGGACTTGGGGGTACTGGTGGATGAAAAAGCTCAACGTGAGCCAACAATGTGCGCTCACAGCCCAGAAAGCCAACCGTGTCCTGGGCTGCATCCCCAGCAGTATGGCCAGCAGGTCAAATGAGGTGATTCTGCCCCTCTCCTCTGCTCTGGTGAGACCTCACTTGGACTACTGCATCCAGCTCTGGAGCCCCCAACATAAGAAGGACATGGACCTGTTGGAGCGCGTCCAGAGGAGGCCATGAAGATGATCAGAGGGCTGGAGCACCACTGCTGTGAGGACAGGCTGAGAGAATTGGGGCTCTTCAGGCTGGAGAAGAGTAGGCTCCAGGGACACCTTATAGGAGCCTTCCACTACCAAAAGGGGGCATATAAGAAAGATGAGGACAGACATTTTAGCATGGCTTGTCACAATAGGACAAGGGGTAATGGTTTTAAAGTAAAAGAGGGTAGATTCAGACTTGATACAAGGCAGAAAATTTTTACACTGAGGGTGGTGAAATGCTGGCACAGGTACCCAGAGAGGTGGGAGATGCCCCGTCCCTGGAGACATTCCAGGTCAGGTTGGACGGGGCTCTGAGCAACCTGATTTAGTTGAGGATGTCCCTGCTCATTTGCAGGGGCATTGGACTAGATGGGCTTTAAAGGTCCCTTCCAACCCAAACTGTTCTATGATCTTCTGTCAGTCAGTAGCAATTCTTCAGGAAAGGATGTGGAGTTTTTTTGTAAATGTACCCTATGAGATTGAGGATAGTGATACTTAGTAAACAAACATTGGTTTGGGATATTTTTTGCTGTGTGTTTTGTAACTGGTATACTCTTCAGATGGTGACATCTGGCTAGTCTTTGTTGATTGTTCTGTGGGATTTGGAGGTACAATTTTCAATTCCAAGTATGTTTTTCAAATTCAAGTAATTTGTTTTCTTGTCCTGTCTTCAAGTTCTCAGGCTTCCATATTTGAGGTGGTTGAAGCATTTTAATTTTTCTTCAGTTTTGTGAGGATATTTGGCAAATATAGTTCGAAGGCAGTAATATAAATATAAGACTGCCTTAGAACTATAACTATGAAACTGAGAAATTGAGACTTTTCTTAAAAAACAAATTTAAGCAGGTAAATGAATGGAGAAGTGCCTCTTTAAAGGGGTGCTTGCAGCCTTATGTTTTAATTTACAAGACTGACTAGGCAAGTTAATTTATCATCACTTCTTCATGTATGTTGAGTGAAGCTCTGCAGATATGTGAATTTAACTCATGGCCGTAGAGGGTCCCTCATGCACTGGCATTTGTGCAGCTGAGCAGCAAAGTGGATGAGGGAAATGATCTGGGTGAAAATAACCTTTAAAAGTGCTTTTATTTTTGGTCCAGTCAACCCTCCGAACCATTTAAATGTGACATGCATTTAGACTAATGCTTATGTAAAAGAAAGGGCAAGAAAACACAGTCATTAGGATGGAATTGCTGTTCTGTTTCTTAAATCAATATAAGGTGCTGTGAAGCCATTTTTCCTAAGTTTATCAAGTCTGAAGTTTTTTGGTATTGGCAGTCACAATGGTTGTTGCTCTAAGCATTAGTTTCTAGATATGCTTTCCAGCAAAATAATACAAGTGTTTTAGCTAAACTTTAGGAACAAATACCCTATCATGAGCAATTTTTGTACAGAACAACTGTAGGTGATCTATGGAATGCAGTTGTGATGCTGTTCGTGTGCTAATTTTTTGCAGACTTTTCCACAGAAAATTTTTTAGAGATGATAAAGTTGTTACTCGGAATAAGAAGGAGGTTAAAAATCCAGTCCTCAAAACACTCTTGAATGTTCTGTACTATGGGAACAATACCTTTGAGGGGGAAATGAAATACAAAGCTGCAGAACGTGGATTTAACAGGCTTATTGTTGGGAGGAAAGGTGGTAATACCTATGTGAGGAAAGAGAGATCAGAAAATAAGTGTTGAGATTGAAATTTTAGTGCACATGTAAATAAGTGGAACTTTTTTTTTTTCTAGGCTCTCTTCTTTTGGAGTCCAAAATTAATCCGAACACTGCGTACCAGAAGCAACAGGTAAACGTACTTTTTTTTCCTCGTGTTTAAGGCAGGCTCTTTAACTTCAGCAATATAGTTATTTTTTGGCCTCTGTTGCAAATTATATTTTATGCTCTTGTACCAAAAATAAGAGGCAAAATAGTTCTCAACATTTTTGTGCATTTCATGATATGTGTGTGTTATTTCTCTGCATTTTTTGTGAAGTTATCTATATAACTTGCACTCTGTTTTGCACCAAAAAATGCTTTAGGAGAGATGGCAAAGCATAGTTATGAAAATCACAAAGTAGCTGAGGATTCTTCTTTATATTTCAGATACTACAACTTTTAATGTATTCTGGTCTTAAAGTTATTTATGTGTTTACCTTTGTTTGGCTTTTACTTGGAAGCTGGATATGGGTTACTACTGCTTCAAAGCATTCTGTATACATAAAAGCAGCTTCTCACCTCTAGTTTGGCCCTTCCTTTAATTGTTCAAGCCATACATTGTGAGCCCCTAAAGAGTGCTACTGAGATGGGCGAGAAGTGAACTGTAGATCTTGCACTTTGCTGTTCTTATTTCATGGATGCTGAGAATTGCCCTTAGAGGTTTAGAAATGCTGAAGCAGATTATATTTTGTTGCCTGTCTGGTCAGCTCAGACTTGCTAAAATCCTATTCGGTACAGTTAATGTATTAAAATATTCTTCAGTCTTCAGCTTTTATTACTTTATTATAAGCATAGACATACAGTAGTTTTGCTCACAGGCAGTGCCGGTGGTTGTGCGGCTGCAGCTGTTTGTAGGATTGTATGTTGAACTGAATAGGGAGAACCAGTCTGGGTTAAAAATACCCTTCCTTGGAAAATTTAATCTGTATCTGCCCCTTGTTACAATTAATCATGCACCATATAAACAGTCCATACTGAACAACTGGTAAGGCCAGTGTAGGGTGGAGAATCAATCTCGGGGAGTAAGAAAGGACAAGACGATGAAAAATGCTAAGCAAACTAACTCCTAGTTGTAATCCTGAGTAGCTTGAGGTTGTGGTTCTATGATACTGTAACTCAAGCTTTAGGACTCCTAAAATGACATTGAGTATTTCACAGCTCTATGGCATAAAGTGCTGATCTAACGTGAACTTGCCTTGCTGGTTCAAATCTGTTCAAAGAGCATTGAGGAGTGAGCTTTGTATCAATAGGCTTTATGCCAGATCAAATGTGAAGCCCCCTTAAAGTAGGCATAAAATTGTAAGATCTGTGCAAACCAGCACACATGGCTGTCACTGAAACAGCATTTTATATCTGTGCTCATTGCTACTCTGGGACAGACGTATTATAATCTAGCACTGCACAAATCCAATACTGGGGGTTGTAAAAACATGGTTAGGGAAATAAAAGTATTAAATGTGAATCTGTCCTGTTAGAACAGCGCTGTACATTTTCTGTGCTGGAGAGGAAGTGCTGTTCTTAAAACTTTCCAGTGCTGCATAGACAGAACTTTATATTTGCAGGTGAATTGTTCATATTATTTAAGCAAAGCAGTTTCTAATGTAGATTGAATATGGCCTCCAGTGTGAACCTTAGAAATAACAAATCTTTCTTGTTACGTGTATTCATCCTACTTTGTAGTATGTTATCTTTCAGGTGAGGCCTACTTATCCTTCCCCTTAGTAAGAGGCAAGTTCAGAGTTTAAACCGGATTCCATATGAGCTAAGCTTGGAGCCTTGCAGCTGAAAGGAAGAGTTGCTTCTTTTCAGCTCTGCTCGTAGAACTCTGAACTCCCTAAACTCACTAAACCAAAAGAAAATCAACTTGGTACCCCAAAGCTCTTTTAAAATCTGGTAGCTCTCTTAAAATCTGGTAACTCTCCACGTCAGCAGAAGTTTCAAGCCACCTCACACAAGATCCGTTTGTGGAACTGCGGTGTGGAAGAGTGAGTGAGATCTTTCCTTCTGCAGCCAAAAGCTGCAGAATACCACTTAGGTTACCTCAGCTACTAGTGAAATTGCAGCCTGAGATAGAGGACTTAGTTTTGAGTTTGCCTGCAGTTGTCAGTTGCACTCATAAATTTTCAAGAAAAATGTCCTAGAAATGTAAGACTTAAAACTTCAAAGTAACTTTCCAGTGTTATGGTCTTACCAGCCTTTTATCTCAAAATTTTGTTGTGAGGGTGAATCTCCATTCCATTTTAAAGGGGTATATAGCAGTGCGTCTGTTTTCACTGTGATACACTTACCATGTGGCTTGTGGGCACTTCGGATATCTAATGGAATAAGTGGATGAGTTCTGACTTCTGTCTAGGCTGACATGAGGCTTATAAGAAGAAACAATCTTTTATTGGGCCAACTAATATAACTTGTGGTTGGAAGGAAGGAGAGATGTGTGATAGAGAAGCTTTTGGGGAAACTTGCTATGCCCATTGTTTTGGATTCTTCCACAAACCTGTAGAGACCTTTGGGATAAACAGTGAAGTTCTTCCACTGGTGAACAAACCTTCTACCTGTGCTGCACTATTAGTGCCAGTGTGAAACAGATTGTCTCGTGAATTGTTGATATCACAAATGATGCAATCTTAGGGTACACATATGTATATTTTAATGATAACTGTCACAACTTAAATAATTATTTATCAAAATAAGTGTGAAGACCTGACTACAAGTTTGCCTTGCTGCCTCTGTTCTCTTGGCGTGTAAAATATTAAAAAAAAAAAAACAAAACCAAAAACAAACAAACAAACAAAAAAAAACCAAAAACCAAACCACAAAACAAACATAAAAAGCCATAACCTGTGAACCTGAACTTCAAGTAAAATTTTGTCAAATTGTCTGCCTCGGATTTCTTGGGGTTTAGGATTGAAAACAATGACTGCCCTTTATTGTGGTCTAGTCAGGTCTCTGTGCGCACATAAAGGTTCATCTAATTGGTGGTAGATACAACTGTCTGCTTTTCCCTTTGGAGAGGAAGAATACTTGGCAGATCTCAAGACCTGCTTGGAGACTCATTTTTCGTACATCAGCACTATCCTGAGATACTTCAGTTTGCACAGTCTAGTCCCCAGTCTTTTCAGATTTACCTGCCACCTAGAGGTTTGACATAATTCCTTAAAGCATGAAACGCATAGGCGGTCTTTTAACTACCTTTTCACTATTCAGATAAATTAGATTAGTCTTTCTGTGACAATAAAGAGTCATTTTCTCCTGTGCATTCAAAAAGAAAGTTATGTCTACGTATCTGATCCTGTAACATAGAATTGCTACCAGTGGCAGTTTTTGGATGCTCTGAACAATGTACTTCCTGGCAAACTCATCCTTAATTATACTAGAACTAGAAGAAAGGAATCCGTATGAGGAAAATCAGCTAGAAAGAAAACAACTTGAGAAACTAATGTCCTGTGCCTCAGAAAAAGGACTAGTATTTTTTATGTTAAAATACTATTTGTAGGCAGAAGATTTCTTCTGAAAAACAAAAATATGCATCAGTACAGCCACTCAGCCTCCTAACTTGTATTCTTGTTTAGGGCTATGTGTTAAGTTTTTTACTGATATTCTTATTTTAAAATGTTACAACAATGGTCCTGTAACTTTAGTATGAAATATCATGGATTTAATTATGGGTGAGTAGCACATAGCTTAAAACCAAATTTTTAGTAAGTGAAATTTACTTATACTTGGGATTGCTGGACCACACATAGAATGCTTAGGTTTCCTCTTTTGTTGTTGATTGTTTTCTTAATATTCTAGTAAAGGTAGAAGATACTTTAATTGTAATGTCCTGATGTAGTCAGTTTGCACACTTCAATCCATGCTCTTTTTTATGTTTGTTTAGGTTTTTTCTTAAAGGCATTAAAATGATGCTATTCCAGAACACTAGTGACAGGTGCTGTTTTTAAACAAGTAATCCTTATTCAGAAAAATGAATAATTGCCCTGGTATTTTAGGACAACACACCTCTTGCTATGCAACCTTAAAGAACAAATAAACTCTGTATACATAGCACTCTTCTAGGGAGAAAGCTGATATGGGTGTGGACTGGGGTATATACCTTTCAATATACTTTGGCAGTGCTTTAGCAATAGAACAGTGAAGACTTTTATGTCCTCAACTTTAGTTTAGATACATCCATGTACATCCTGTAACCCAGTGATGAAGTGTGTATTGCATCCCTTTTTGTGCCTGAAACAAGGAAGACTTGAGTTGCTTACAGCTTCCAGCTACAAAGTCTTGCCTCTGCACTAGAAACTTCAGTGTCTCACGTCCTCTGCTTTTACAGTCCTCTTTTCGGTTCCTCACAAGAACACAAAGCTTAAATTCATCCAGAGTACCATCTACTAGCTATGTAGCTCGAAGGTGGCGATCCTTGAATGATGGAGAGTGGACTTACGTATAACAAAGCTAAATTTTGAAAAGATCCAAAAGGCAACTGGCAGAATGCTCAGAGAAGATGAACTTCCTGCCTTTGCTGTCAAGACAAGCAAGCCGACAGTGAAACTCTTACAATAAAATTTGTGCCTGTTGTAGCTAAGATAGTAAGGACAAGTGTGTAGTTTTGTGGAGTGAGGGACAAATGAGGAGTGACTGCTGTTGGTTTTGGGTTGGGTTGGTTTGTCTATTTTAAATGATCACATGTTCCTTTGCCTTCACATGTGTTTTCCTATGAAATCTAATTTTCCTCCTAGTTTTGGGTATGGTCACTAGGCCAGTGAGATGAGATTCTGTTACAGAACTAATAAACTGATTTTATTCCGTGTGATTCATGGGAATGCAGCTATGAAACAGCTAACTAGAAAGTCACATATGATTGTCGAGCTTTCATAGACGCTAATAGAATACACTTTGCCAAAAGACTGAGTGTGATTTTGATACGTTATTCCAGTTTTTGGGATAACTTGTTAGCACATCCAGCTATCCAGGTTCTAGGTGAACAAATGCACAAAACCTAACGCAGAATTGAAACTTTATATTATATTACTGGGGTGGGCTTTTTAGCCTGAAGAATAACTGTATATATATATAACTTCAAAAACTTGCACAGCGCCAGTA